CAAGACACATTGCAGTAAAAACACTAAACGTATAAAACAAAGAGAAAATACTGAAAGCTGCAAAAGAAAAACAAGTCACACAAAAGAAAACCCATTAGGATTACAGCTGGCTTTTCAATGCAAATTATGAAAGCCAGGAAGAGCCTGGGCCAAAGATTCCCAGCTTTAAATGACCACAGATGCCAATCCAGATTACTATACCCAGCCAAAGTCTCTATTATAGTTGAAGAGGAAAGAAAAATCTTCCATGACATACAAAGGCTGAAGGAATTCATATCCACAAAACCAGCCCTTCAGAGAGTTCTGGAAGTAATACAAAGAGCTGAAAAAAGAAACGACTATACCCAAGAGGTTGCGGAAAGAAATTCAATGAAGATATGTGTAGAAAAGTACAGCTGCATCAAGAATGTAAACAAATAAAAATGACAGGATTCAATACTCATATTTCATTACTATCTTTAATATTAACAGATTGAACTCCCCAGTCAAAAGACACAGACTAGGTGAATGGATTAAGAAACAAAACCCAAGCCAGGTGTGGTGGCACACACCTTTAATACCAGCACTTGGGAGGCAGAGGCAGGGGATCTCTGTGAGTTCAAGGCCAGCCTGGTCTACACAGTGAGTTCCAGGACAGCTGGGGCTACAGGGAGACCCTGTCTCAAAAGAAAAAGAAACAAAACCCATCCTTTTGTTGTCTGCAAGAAGCTCATCTCCCAAGGACAGATACTACCTTAAAGGATAGATAAAAATATATACCAAGCAAATGGTACTAAGAAAAAAACAGGTGTAGCAATTCTAATATCTGAAAAATAGACTTTAAAACTAATCAGAAGAGATTAAGAGGGCCACTTCATTCTGACCAAAGGAACAATAAATAGAAGTTACAATCATGAACATATATTCACCAAACTCTGGTGCACCTAACTTCATCAAAACAATACTACAGAACTTTAAGACCCAGATTAACCCCAACTCATTAATAATAGGGTACTTCAATACCCCACTGTCTCCATTAGATAAGTCAATAGGGTAGAGAGTTAACAGAGAGACATCTGCATTAAACAATACCATATATCAAATGGACTTAACAGACATCTACTGAGCATTCCACCCAAGCACCAAAGGACATACTTTCTACTCATCACCCCATGGAACCTTCTTCAAAATCGACCATATACTGGGGCACAAAATAAACCACAACAAATAAAAAAAGATTAAAATAATTCCATGCATTCTATCAGACCACAATGCAATAAAGCTTACAATCAACACCCAAAGAAGCCCTAATCACCACATGAACACATGGAGATTAAACAACACACTCCTGAATGATGAATGGATCAAAAGAGAAATTAAGAAATAAATAAAAGTATTCCTGGAACTAAATGAAAAGGACAATACAACACAACAAAACATCTGGGACACGCTGAAAGTGGTCCTTAGAGGGAAATTTGTAGCTCTAAGTGCCTACATCAAAAAATCCGAAAGAACACAAATAAATGACTTAATGTTGCAACTCAAGACACTTGAAAAAAAACAGCAAATGAAACCCAAACCCAGCAGACAAGAAGAAATAACAAAAATCAGGGCAGAAATCAGTGAAATAGAAACAAAGAAAAAAATACAAAGAATCAATGAATCCAAGAGGTGGTTCTTTAAAAAGATAAGCAAGATTGAAAGACTGTTAACTCAGTTAACCAAAAGAAAGAAAGAGAACCTCCAAATCAACAAAATCAGAGATGAAAGGGGAAACATCACAACAGACACCAAAAAGATCCAGAATGTTATAACATAATATT